AACTTCGATAATCTACTGCTCTCTCATAACTGAAAGTCTTAATGCGTATTTCTTGCCACTTACAGGCTTTTACAGGATCCGGACTTCAGAGAATTCTGTACCAAAGTTCTCGGAATTTTGCACAGCCGTGAGCGAGGCGCTGAGTGCATTAATGCTTTAAGGCGACTGTTTCTGCTGTTAGCCGCTACTAGACAAAGAAGAAGGTATTTATGCTCACACTCTCTTCTTCTTCAGTGAAAAGGGCTACATTTGCTAGGTTTATTAATCCTGGCCAAAAAAAAAGGTCATACCCAATGCACATGTTAAAGGTGTTATCTTTAATTTCCAATTCTCTTTACTACGTTTCGTACTGTCTTTCTATTCCCCTGGAGAGAATATATTTGTGATCTGACAGCTTTTTTCAGATCATGAAGTTCTTCATTAAATAAAATGTTACCATCTGGTTATTCATTAACTCATGTCACATTTCCCAATCATCACCCTCTCTTGATATTCTCAACAGGTTGACACAGGAATTAATCGATGAACTGAAAAATGTTACCAGTGAACCTCAGCAAGGTCCTAAAAGATTACGACTTCTTTGCTCTGCGATCTTGCGAGAAATAACTCCCACCAATCATCTGCTTATCACTAATTTGGAGCCTCCTGTGGAGCAGAAAAACATCCCAGTCATTTTACCTTTGGTTTGGGTCCAGGTAAGCTTTACTGTAATCAATCAGTCAAGCAATCGTTTATTTTAACAAGTTTCGTCAAGGAGCTAAGAACTTGTTCAAAATACGAACATGTAAAAAAAGAGAACTATAGTAATTACAGCTAATAATATCATTCTATTTTAGCTAATAATGCCATTCTATTTTAAAACAACTTAATAGATATATAAATCAAATCAAGCATATCTAGGCTCTTAAATTACCCCTCAAGTGTTATACTGCTGGAGTCCAGGATCGAGTCTGCAAAAAGTGCAAGCCAGCAAGTCATGCAAGCCAACATGTTCCGGTTAGCCTAAATAAGAGTCTGGTTAATTACATTAGCCTAAATAGAACCTGGTTAGACTAAATAACCCTCCTCCCCCTGCCTCCCCACCCAAGAGAAAAACCCTACCTTCGTCTATAGATCCAGTATGGATTACTGGCTCACATGGCTCGCCTGCTTGTTAACCTTGATAAAACTCCTTTTAGCCTAACTAACATTCTGTTTAGTCCAATTAGTACTCTGGTTAGCCTAAATTAGCTTAGTTGGCTTGTGGTTAGCCTTTTTAGCGGGTTCAGGATCCTGGCTCACATGCCTTGCATGTCTTGCTGGCTTGTATATTAGTATCACTGTCCTTGAGCAACCAATTAATCTTAAGGGCTTGCATGTATTAAGCATGGAAGATGTGGCATGTATATTGCATAAAAGAAAGTGAAATCTGAGCCAAAATGATCTATACCCATGACATTAAGCCTTGTTCTATCTGTAAATATTACTCTGGCTTTACTATATACCTTGATACTGCCTCAGATTGGGTAGAATAGGAAAGCAACCACGGAACATAGGACAATTTTTCTCATATAATTTTACGAAAGTCTTATATACATGTAATCCCTGTATTTGTAATGATCTTTGTGTTTCATTGTTCAGGGTCAGGAACATGGCCTCTGGACAAACCACGTTCCACAGCTTGTACAGTGAGTAACATTATGCTACAAATTGACATGTTTTAGTTTTTGTCACGCTACAATGTGTGGTTCCAGACAATATTCATACTCTCCTACAGTTATACCATTCTAGATACTCCCTAAAAGACTTTTTAGGGTTTGATCTCCCCTACCCACCTCTCTATAAATTCTAGTTTAGCAGGTGCTATACTTTCCTTTAAAAGATTTGAGCTTTTGAATCACCCATCGATCCCCTTGGGGAAGGGTATAGTACCGGCTTGAAGGGGACTGGCTGCTTAATAGAGGTAAAAACAATGGGCAAAGACATCATTGGGACTTTGATTACTGGCCGCCTAATAGGGGTGGCCATATAATAGATGGCCATTTTGTAGGGGTGCGATTGTAGTTTCATTAAGTTGTAAGAAATTATCTTTTTATTTTCAGGTGGTTAACCAATCCTGGTGTTCCCGTAGAGTTACAGACATTGTCGCTTGGATCTTTACAGTTATTAATACACGTAGATGACAACTTGATATCACAAGGTTTCTTTCTTCATATCACTCAGTTTTTTTATTGTATTGCTTTTACACCATTGCTAGTGTGTGTCGACATAAAATGTAGACTAATATTTGTTTTTTAAAAAGTTGTGGAAGCAGCTTTCTCTCCTGGACTTGAAACACCGTTGAGCCCCTTGTTACAGACACTTCCATTCAACAGACATTCCCTTATCACACAGGCTATGAGTAGTCCTTCTGTCACTTAGTCCATCATGTGTGATGTAAAAGGAAACAGCTAGAAAAAATATCTGTGTAAAATCCTGGGGGTAAGATGAGCGCACTTCTCACCTCCCATATTTCACGCAGCCATTTTTTCTTCATGTTTTATATATGGTCACACTTGATGGACTAAGTAAAAGAGGGACCACTTGTAGTCTATTATTACAGACAGTTCACTCGGTCCCAACAAAACCAGATTGATTTCACAACTCTGCTATTGCTACCTCCATGGTAATGGTACAACATTCAGCTCAGCCCCTCTGGTATCCAAGTTAAAGAGGTTTGACCGTATTTATGTTCAAATTATTCTGAATATATAATTATGAATAACTTGTGTCTTGAGAAAATAATAATAACTCAAATTGTATTAAATGAGATATTATGTTCAATAGAGTAGGAAATTATGTTATCTTGTTCTTAGACTTGCTAAGTACCTGCAGACAGCTTACAATCATTTTTCAGTGAAATGATTCTTATTTCTCTAATTTTCAATCTGTGGCAATCTTACAATTAATTAACAAATTGGTGATGTGAACATAATGTTCTCTCAGTGACTTAACCTGTGAACATTGTTGTGGATTTGTTTATCTACAGATGATGCAGGTGGAGTTAGTCGGCAAATGGCTAACTGGTTGAAAAATGCCAGCACGGTGTCAGCACCTAATCCTTACCAGAGACAGATATTCAGAGGAGGAAAGGCTAAGGGGGTTAGAAGTTTGTTTTAATTTAATAATTATTAAAGTGCTACTGCGACCAAAAATCAATTCTACTTTTTCTTTGTATTTCAAAACTGTATAACTGAACCACTAAGTGACCAAAGTTTTAACCCTTCATTTCAAAAAGACACCTGTTTATTTTGACTGAAATTTTCCTAATTAATGTTCTGTCATTACTAACTTTAAAATCTTGAGAAACTTCTTGTGTGAAGGAAACCACTGTTCATATTAAAAACATGTGAATAAATCAGCTCTACAGTCTTAAGATTTGAGATTTTGCTATGGCCTTCCTGGTGCAAACTCCTTCAAGAACAGGCCCCAGGTTCAGCTTGGCGATTATTTAGGCAATGGGACAAATCAGTTATGATTAGGCATAACATGTAACTTACATCCATTCCCTGGATTGATTTCTGACATATAGATGCTAATGTTAAAAGATGAAACTTTCATATTAAGCTTGCTTAGAGCTATGATTTTTAAGTATAAAAAAGTTACTACAGTTCATGATTTGAGTTAATTTTAGTTCTTATCTTGTTTCGTTTCTTTGCAGTATCAGCTGGTTACTGAAGTTGATGGAACATCATCAAGATATTTTTTCACAGTGTTGAGTATTGGTAAGCAGAGAATTACTCTGACATAAAATAAAAGAGAAAATCCCGACATACAATGATGAATGCTAGAGAGAATTTACTTTTCTACATGTACATGTATGTTTATTTCTTGTGGGAGGTGTGATGAATAACAGTTATTTTATTCAACTTGAAGTCATGTTATCTGTGTTTTAGCCTTGTCCGGGGTCACTGTATTGTGTTCTTGGGCAAGGCACTGTTTACTCTGACTCATAATAGCTCTGCTTGCCAGGGAGTACAAAGGGGTAAACTATTAGGGAAAGCTAGCAAATAAACTTCAGTTATTCAGAAGCCCATTGTGCATGGAGGATACCCACAGTACCTCTAGTCTGTTCGTGTTGCAGAAGGCTGGATAATGTACAGTGTTTTTGGCGTCTTTGGCCCAATTGCAGATGTTACCCTTGATTGTTGCAACACATAATGTCAGACCAGTTGAGAACAGTACCGCTCAAAACTAAGTTACCACCTCTTGTCTCATTTCTCTCCAGATGAGAATCATGTTTCGTGATGTGAGAAATGCATATCAAGAGACCAGAGTCCAGTTAATAACTGTTTTGCATTTTTTTTTTTTATTTACAGCACAATACTTTTTCCCAGACCAAGTTTTGAATATCCACAGCTTTTCTATGTTAAGATCATGGCTTCAGCATCTTACATTCACCACTGCAACATCAATCTCTGTTTCTCCGAGAGATCGTCGGTCACCAGTGACTTTAACAACTGCCTCAAATCCTGGCTCTGTTGAGAATCTCAGCCAAGCAACTTATCCATATGGATCTCTATCCCATAACACCCTTGACCAGAGTCAGTCAAGTATGGATAATGTTTCAATTGGTTCCCAATCTTCTGCTGGCTTTATTATCCCTTTGTTACGTTCCTCACCACAGGGGTCTGAGAACCAGTCTTTGAACCAGTCCCCCATTCTTGGAAGATCTCCAGATGACAGATCTCCTGATGACCGGTCAAGTGGCAGTGACTCTAGACCACAGACTCCTTTAAACTTTCCACTTGATCCCGAGGAGACTGGTGTCAAGGCTCAGGCAAAACCAGCATCACAGCGGGGTAAACATCAGAGATCTGTGTCATCAGTGAGTTTCTCAAAACTGTTTCCTTCCAGTGTACATGGTGCAAAAACTGGTGAACAAGAACTGAAGGAAAGAGCTTGTGAATATTGTCTTCGGCTTCTGGAACAAAGTGAAAGAAGTAAGAAATGTGTCATCAACTTTTTGTAACATATAAATTTATTTGAGTAATAGTAAGATCTTTTTACCAAAATAGCAACCGTTTATGAGCATCCCACAATGTTTCTCAAATCATAAGAAATCAAAATGGCTGCCGTATCAGTAAAAAGGTCTATAATAAAGAGAAAAATGTACATAGAATTGAACTGATAGAAGTCAATTTTTCTATGATTGCGAGTGGCATAACACAGTACAGACTGCTGGTCTGTCAATCCTACTGTTATGATTCTGAAACTCTGATTAACTTGGCACAATTTGGTGATACTTATGAAATAATTAAATACTTCTGAAGTAGCACAGTGACAGAAGACCTGCAGATTCTATTCATGTGACTGTTATTTTGATACAAATTTTCATTCCAAATACATACATACATACATAAACTTTATTTAAGCTCGAATTTCAGAGTAGCTTGACAAGCTAATATTTCTGAGATGTAACACATGTAATACATGTGGGCTTTTTTGTGACTTAATTTATACCAATTTCACATCAATTATTTTTAATCAACTTATAACAGTAGTTAATGAATTATTTGTCATTTAATTTCAAATTTGTTGCAATTTTTTGGCAGAACCAAGCAAGCATCAAGATGTCGTGTTAATTGAAGCAGTAAGTTTGTTAAGATACTTATTACTGAATGAACAATTTTAAATGTATGCATAGAAACTGATTATGACATCACTAACTTGGGAGGTTTTTTCTTCAGCATAACAAAACATTATTGAATTATTATATTTAAACAAAGAATTCTCGATTCAAACAAACCTATTGTTTTTGTTTTTTATGGTTTCATTCTACAAACATCAGCATACTAACCTTATGTTTTGCAAAGGATGTGTGCAAAATTTAATAAATTTACAGTGAAATGTTATCATCCAGACATCCTTTTATTTTCCCTGGATAGTGTCTTGTTGAGGCCATCTACAACTTGGACATCCTGTGTGCAACAGACAAGTCCTTAATTCCCAAACTTATCGAGATAATAAGAAGACTTTATACTCGAGTCAAGTCTGACATCAACAGGTGGAAAAGGGTTTTGATTCCTGTAGTGCAGTTTCTGCTTAACCATGGTGAGTACTGCGGTATGCAGTTTCTCCTATCTTGTGATAATTTAGCAGACCTGATTTGATAGCTTGGAGAGCAATTTGAGACGTGAAATGCAGTTTTCAGTAAAATTTTTCAAGTAATAAACTAGTCTTGTGAGTCACACATTTCTAAACATAGAGAAAATAGACGAGAAAGCAGCATGGAGCAGAGTATTTTTGACAAGACATGAGGTGGTTGGAAATGTGATGTCCACTCTGTTGAGTGTTTAATAGATCTTTTCAATTGAAACTTAAATTAAGGAAAAAAACTGAGAAATAAAACCGTAATTAATAAATAATTGTTTTAATAATTTTACCATCACTGTGCAATATTCCTGTTGTAACTTAATGAATTATTAATCTTTAGATTTTTCAGTAACATACAAAGTAACTTTGTAGCCTTCCATCAGCTCTCAGTTATAAAAACAGTAAGATTATCACTAGAGGTGATCTGTTCAGGCTCGCTTACCAGCTGCTGTTCACGAAAAGAGCCCACACTCCTCTCCTTGGATCTTCTTGGAGAAGAATGTCGGCCAGGCTTGGGAGAGAGGTGGAAACCGAGCCTATGCTGTATGATCTGTTGTGATTGCAGGTGAAACTGTAGTTCTTGATCCTGAACCTGCCTGCCAGTATCTGCTGGGTCCTGTTCTGAGTTCTTATTATGCCAAGTATGTTTTTTTGTTTTATTCTGAATAATATTGTGCTACTTTTGGGCATATTTTATCAGCAAAGTAGGGTTATCTGGGCCACTGACCTGCAACAAGTTCCACAACTTAAGTTAAATTGTTTTCTAGACTTTTGGAAAGTGAAGTGGCCGCCACCTTGTTACTATTTGATTTCAAATTTGTTTCCGTGAATCAAAAGTAAAATATTTTTTCAGGCATTCGTCAGCGAGAAAGGGTAATGCATGATGGCTGAAGTTATTGTGGCAGTGTTGCAGGCTGTAGTGACATACATGTACTATTGAACATTCATAGCTTGATAAATTATCACTATACAAGAAGATAACGTTTTTTTATTCTTTTTTTTTTTTTCATCTTACAGCTCTTCCCTCGCATTTGATATTATTTTCTTTTGCCTGGAAAACCTGAGAAAACTCAGCGCATCAAGCACCATCCTTTTGAAGTATTTCCCAAATCTATTTAAGGTGAGTATAGCTGGACACGTAACTCAGTTCCACATAACATGCTAACACATATAATCAAGAACAAACGTCTTGGGACAAATTCGGCCTTTTGGCGCTTTGGTACACACGCCAGGCGCGAATACAACTTCACCTGCCTAACCTCTCCCCCACCCCACATACAATGTTGAGAACTAGTATTCTCCCGAGTTTCAATACTTGCCTGGGTGGGGAGGGAGAACAGCAACGCGTTTTTAAAAGGATAGCGGTGCTTTTCTCAAATTTCAGTTGTAAAACACAGATAATTCGTTACATTACGCGAGTGTCCCAAGGACTTTTGTCCACAATTGTCTGATCTCAAGCCAGGTTTGTTTTTAGTGTGAGGCTGTTTCCAGAACGCGTAAAATGATTTTTTTGTGTGTGTGTTTGTACACCAATACAGATCTTGGCGTGGCATCCACGCACATATATCAAGGAATTCATAGAGATGCTGCCAGCCATGCTAAATGAGGACAATGTCATTGAGGTATAATAGTCATTCCACTTCTTGTTATGTTGACGATTTTGTTTCTGATTCACAAGAATGACACTTTATTCCTTTTCTGTTTCTTTTTAATTTTCAAACAATAGCTGCTTAGTGACCATGTTTGATGATGTAGATTAATAGGTACATGAGAATCTGGGGGGGGAGGGTGCAAGTGACTGGGTGTATGAGAGGGTACTTTTGTAATCAAAGAGGCCAGTCTGATGTTCAACGCGCAACATTAATTCCAATCACAAAACGGATCCAAGAAACAAAGCGATGCGAAGCGGTTGTTTCAAAACAACATAAATAAAATAATTACAAGTTACAATCGATTACATACAAAGGAAATAGAAATAACAGGGTATAGGTAAGACACTTACAAACGTTGTTTGACTCCTGAACCACAAAGTGATTTCAAAAACGTTAAAGATGGTTAACTGTATAGAACGATACAATACTTATGCAGGATGTAAATGGTCAGGGTAGCGGATATACTTCTACAAAAATACAAAGACAATGCAAAATTATGCTGAAAATCTTGACTAACACAGTGCCAGTTGCATGCATGTGAAATACAGTGTAAACGAAAAGAGTGGGATGACAAGGCAAAAGAATGCATGTACCAACGGAAAACATAACAGAGTGCGGCAACAAAACTTACAACTGCTTTTTGCCTTGCGTGGCATTGGTGGGTTATTTCGGAAACGAGTTAAAGCGCTTTGCACGCCTTGCTTGCTTGTGTTTTATCTCTATTAACTAAAATAACAAAATTCATCAACAATGAGCCTTATGTTAGCATTAATGTTAGCATTAATTAACTGCTTATAAATAATTTAGGTGCAATATTTCAGCGTGAATTTATAATTTCACCTGTGAAACGGCAAAATTGCCAAGGCTTGTGTGATTTTGTACCATGTGACCGGATCGTGCAAAGGGTCTATTTCCAGAGCCTTTTAATTATAGGACGGTGTCTTGTCTATTGTCATCCTGTTGTTATAATTATTGGACAACACACTTCTTTTTTACGCCAAAAATCAAACCATTCGATTTTTTTCTCAAATTTTGTTATCGTTGTGATTAATTACAAAGAGGACTTCGTGACGCCTTAACATTGTAACGTATTAGTTTGCAGATATAGCCATCACAAAATCCGCCACTCGATTGAAAGATATGTTTCCAACTTTTACCATCTTCCACTATAGCTGTCATATTTTGTTTTCCTTTCCTATTCAAGAACTAACTCCATGAACAGCAAAATTGTCCGATTGTGTCCTTCACTGCTTGTCTAACCTCAATGATCCTCCAGCAATAAAGAATCGGGTTTAATGCTGAGTTTAAATACACTAACGTGGCTGTAAATTGTCTCGCTTGGAATAAGTATTTTGTCGATTCATTAGAAGTCCACAAAGCTGTAACTATACCGTGCGGTAGATAGCAAAACACCATTGTCAACTCCAGCCAGAGAGCACTACAAACTGCCTTTCTGTATCGCGCTATGCACAGATGAGTTGTTTGAGTTTCTTCTCGATGAACAAGGTCTTGTACTTGAGTTTGATGAAGTCGGAGAGCCACAAAAATCTTTGCATAGGAGAGGACTGAGGCTGATACACAAAACGAAATAATTATACAACCACACCATAAAGTTATAAGATGATTCCGAAAATACATCGCTGTAGCGAGAGTAGAAACGCCCCAAAAGGAAAGTACAATCACATAAGTTCGCTTCAAAGTTACAACTTGTCTGTATCTTAGCTTCAGCAACAGCGCGAGAAGTCTGTCCACGCTTATTGCAGTCAGTGTGAACAAGGATACTGAACACAAAAGGTAACCTGTTATTAGACATAGGGCAAATGCGTAGCGACAAATCCTCCAGCTTTCATTCACGTAAGTTGTTAAATAGATAGTGTAGAGAGGCTGTGAAATAAGGCCAACACAAAGGTCAGATAAAGCTAGGCTACGGAGCAGAAGTTTGGATGGTGGATGAAGGGACGACTCTTTGTGAAGAGCAACGAGGACGAGAATATTTCCAAGAATTGAAGTAATCGTCAGAAAAACGTTCACCACAGAAAGACCTATTAACTGGTAAGATACTCCAAAATTTGTCGAACATGCCAGCTCTCGGAACACTTTCCACCTTCCATCTACCGTTAAGTTGGACATCACCATTTTGTTTTTCTCCAGTTAGCAAACAGATTCTTTTTTACCACAATTGTATCACTCACTATAAATCAAAAGCTTTGTGCTTTGAATTAAAAATCACTGCTCGTAAAAAGAGAAACAATTTTTTTGGCTGGATAAAGTGGCATCTGTTTTAGCTCGCTCAATTCATCCCCCGTTTCGAAGACATCTAAGATCAGTTATTTACACATGCACAATAGGTTAAAAGCAGCATAGCAGATGCGTCCGTGTCAAAGAAGAGTTGAAAGATTTGCCACTGTAATTAAAATTTAATTTAAATTTGGATTAATGGAAAAAGGTAAAATTGTCCTCCAGGATATAAGATTAAATAATAATTATATTACCTTTAAAACTATTTGCATTTGGTTCCGCCCGCTGTCATTTCTTAATTCATTATATGACTGAGAACATTACTTTATTGTGATTATCTGAGAACAGGCCAATGTTAAACGTTAATTCTTATTAACTTTGCACTGCAGTGCAAATTAACGCGCCCGCGTTCGCATTTTTCTCATGCAGTCGTGTAATAAATCAGTAATTGTGTGAAAGCTCGAGCAATAATGTGGGTAATCGTATGAATGCGAGTGCTATTAAGGATTTACACAACTCGGGATATTTGAAAATTCTTTCAACTTCCACTCGCCCAAAGGCTCGTGTAATTTTGAGAGAATTTTCAAACATCACTCGTAGTGTAAATTCTTACTGATTGCAATCGCATTCATACGATTACCCAGACAAACATAGCAACTGTCAATTAAATTAATTCGAGCAAAAATATTACGACAAATCCTTGTTTTCAAGTGCGTTAACTTTCGTAGGATGGGTCAAAGAGAGCTTTTTTTTTCAAAGAGAGCTGCAGACTACTTATAAGATAAATTCACATTAGTGAAGACAGTCTCGTGGTTTTCAAAAATTTCTATTTTTGCAAATATTATTGTGTTGGAAGACGTCAAGCTTATTGCACCCGGTGAAGAAATGGATTTGCGCAGCTTTTTCATTAAGCTAACGTGTAAAAAATTTGAGCACTAAATTTGCTCTGTACAAATAACAATTCTAATAACGGAGGCTTTGGACAAGCAATTAAGAATAAAAATTAGCGACAATAATTTTGAATGACGTTTTGATGACTCGTTCATTATTTTCAAATTCGTACAACTAAAAGTCAGACTCTTAAGAGTTCTTTTTATTATATGGAGAAGAGTGTTTTACTGGGAACTAAACCACTCGTAGATTCCATACGCCACTTCATCCGGGACCCGAGTGGCGTATTTTCCGTA